CAGCTTCATGAATGCATTAGATGCTTCTGATCGCGTTGAATTACTTCTCCTCATCGCACTGTGATCACATCTGATCGCATCGGAAAGAGTTGAGTACCAAAGTGTTACGAATCAACTGCTAAATACAGTCATGCTTAAACGGACAACTGATTGGGTGCTTTTGAGATAAACAAGTGTTTATTGACACCTCAAATTGGTCACATCTCATTTACACTTCTGATGCAAGTCCACTGAAAATTCATTACTTGTTCACAACTCTAAACTGATCAACTGACAATATATGCAAATGAGTGCCATTGTTTTCCCCTGTCGATTATGGTACGATGTAATTTGCAAAGACCATTCAAGACTTTACTGCTGTATGAATACATAATAATATTTGCAATATTTGCATAAAATGCTGTCCGACAGTTTTTTTTTTAGTTGTTGTTGGAAACGGTGCAGAGTGTGAATGATTTCTAATTGTGCATTGCATAAATATTTGATGAATGGGGCATTCAGCGAGAATGTTGTTAGTTTTAGCGGTGGGTGACAACAATTCACACTGAAACGGCTAATTGAAAATGTTTGTGTAAACATTAAAACGAAGACTGAACACAAAAAATGATTGATCTCAGCACGAGTTCAACGCATTTTTACGCTATTGTAATTATTCCTGAGTTTTTTCGCTACAAAGCATCGTCATTATAATTTATAAGTTAGTAAGTGAATGAATAGATTTTGCGTATTTTTTGTACTTTCACAGTTGCTTTTCATAAGAAATTACTCCTATTATTATACTGATACTACTCTAAACATTACTACGAATATTACGTTTGATTATTTGCATACAGTCTGCTACATAATCATTGCCGTCAGATTGAATACAATGTCATGTTTTTTAAGCAACATTAACGGATACTAATTGTGTGGTATCAAAACAGGGTCACTGTAAACTATATCACGTTTGCAGTTCTCAGTTGCTTATATTACAAACTGTAAAGGAATAAAATTTGAGTACTCTGAGATTATATTTTTGGTATAATAGTTCCGCACTTTCTTTTCATGCTATTATTAAATTATTACAACTCGAAATGTTACTATTAATGTTGCATTTAATTATTTGCACACAGTCTGTTATACAATCACAAATTTGCCATTAGACTGAATCTAATGTCATGTTTTCAAGCAATCGCAACAGGCGCTAATGTTCTGGTAGCAAAATCCTAAACTATATCACGCATGCAATTTACAGTTCGTTTGTTATTCAGTCAGCAATTAGAAGTCATCACGAGTTTGTGTCTTTCTCTTATCACCATTGTCATAGACCATAAAGAGATAAAATTTGTTTTCTCTTTAATCATATTGACTTATTCATTATTAACTAAGTAATTGTTAACTCTTACATATATATTAGTTATACTAAATGATGATCGTATTTCAACTCTGCGAATGAAAGCATTTAAAACCAATTGACTGCGTGTCCGTACAAAAGGTATTGAAATTGCAAAATGATTACTCAAATCAACGAGAACTACTCAAAATAAAGCCGTAACAGCTAGCAGATTACAAAATCCTATTTATCACTCTCCGTTAGTGGAGCTCATTCATTAGCCGCACAGAACCTTCCATGTGTCTTATTTGAGTTGATTTGCCATCAGAAGTTCAATTTCGATTCAGTGCTTTGAACCAGTGTTTTTAGCTTGAATCACGACACCTGAGCATGCTCATTCAAGGCAATCGCTGCGTTACTAGCACAAATTGATCTCTGATATGATTGTTGATTGCTTTCTGGATGATCACTGTGCGCAATGTCACCAATCAACAGTGAACTGTCGCAATCAATCGATAAAATCACATTCATACCAGCAATTCAATGTAAACTTGTTATTGTTATTTCTATATTATTGTCAGTACCAAATTCATTTGTATACGGTTGCAGATCTTAACATTTTTCCCAGAGTTTACGAATTTGCACAGTACCTGTGCACGATCGTTAGATTCCTTTATCTGGTAGCAGTGGATGAGTGTCGTGTGATGATATCACGTCCGTATGTTATAAATTATCGAGCCTGTCCTTCTTGGCAATACGAACGTTGTTACATTAAAAGTTATAATTAGATTACTTGGTTCATTCATATTATAAACGAACCCAACGCAATAAAAGCAATAATGCTCTGCTCCACTTCCATTTCGTTGATTCATCATTTTGAAACGATATCAAGGTGTATTTACGTATCGATCTCACTAGTTATCACCTTATTGGCAGTTTACAATTAACGAATGAATATAGTTTTGATTTGCTGATAGAAATGTGGCAAATGAGCATAACATTGATGCGTATGATAAGGTGCATATAATTGTTTCCGTTATGATGCAGATATTAAGAATGAAGATGATGTTGCATCTAGTACATGAACGATGAAGAAGTTAACAACCGCGGTTAGTTAGCGCAGTAGTCAGAGTTTGATGTGCATGAACTAATGGAAAATGAGGAAAATTTTACCGTGTTCCAGTTAGAGTAAACCAATCATAACAACAAATAATAGCTGCAGTAATCATAAGTATTCCGCAAAAACGTTCTTTTTAACCAATTTCACTGTTCATTTATGAAAATTTCAACGTATCGTCTTATGTGTTCAGTACTTACGCCTAGTTTACACAAGCTTATTAATGCCTCAAACAAGACGTGTTGAATCATAAGAGAACTCATCTGCAACCCGTAAAAGCAAACGCGAATCTATTTGTTAAGCTCGTGTTGATATAACTGATAATAAGCACACTCAAGATAACCACATTGATGGCTTTCTATACAGTTCTATTTGTGCGTTCAATAAAGCGTTGCTATCCAACACTTTCGACGTTCGCATCGTCCAGAAATCGATTCCAGTACACTGCTATTGCAACATCGTTCACCGCATTTACAATTGTGAGTATTACTAATTGTACCTCATCCATACTTCAGTGTTCCTCTAACACGCCATAACTCAAAAAAGCACAGATCACGCAATGAATCGATGTTGACACTTCAATTTCCAACAAATTAGCCAAAACTACAACTAGTAAATTCATCTAGCGAAGGGAATGTTTCAACCTGTTGTATGAGATAGAGTAGTATTAGAAAGGGCTGAAATTGCTGAGGGATATTATTTGTCTTTGAGCAGAGTGTTATTGGTTAGTATTGATGTTGATAAGTAAATGTGATACGTTCATGATAAGATTCCAGATGAGGTATTCTTCCTCTGTTATCACAAGACCAAAGAGAACGTTGTCTGTTGATGTATAACTCCAATTAGGGTTGATAGTCTCACTCACCTCCCGTAACATTTCGTTCGTTTGCCTGCTTATAACGCAAATGACGACATTACATCATCATCGAATAATTTTCATCTATTCAAATTTTCGTATAACCATCAAATTACTGTTTTGATTCCAAGCACATCACATTTATGATTTTGCTTTCAGAATAACATCACATATCAGTGTCATATTTCATAGCCTATTGACTACGTCTTCGTTTCCGAGAAATTTATCACAGTTGCACCAATAGTGAAACGAATCGAATTTCTTATCGATAGACTTCTTTAGTTAGCGCTTGTGCCCACTCTATAAGGAAATATTACAATCTAGTGAAAACGTTCGAATCTTCATAATGAAAGCGTTTAGTGGGGGGAATTTTCGGGAATTCGACGTTAGACTGCATTAGAGCATTTGTTTTGTGCTGATAATGCGATTTATTCGCATGAGTGTCGTTCATTCATGTAAATCTCGTAGACAACAGCCGCAATGTCGTCACAACCCCTCACCGACAAACCCAAACCACTCAGCGGTCGTATCGCAATTGTGACCGGTGCATCACGTGGAATCGGCAAAGGTATCGCTGTTCAGCTCGGTGAAGCCGGTGCAAAGGTCTACATTACAGGCCGTGAACCGTCAAAATCCTACGCGGCTCAACAAGAGGGTCTTCCATCGTTGAATGACACAGCTGAGGGTAATTCATTTGCCAACTTCATTGAATATTTTCCATCATCGATTGTTCTCAACCGATCAGCAGTTCTTTTCAGAGATCACGATCATTCCTTATGTTGAGTGTATTCAAATTTGAAAATGCTCATAGTCAACAGAAGGTTGCAAATTAGAATGTTGATGGCCGGTTATGAAGAGGCTATGAATTATTTAGTAGATGAAGAGCTGATAAATTGAAACTTTGAGAAAATTTTACCAGAGGACGATATCCTCACAATTATGACTTACCATTGAAGATTCCGTTCATGAATTTTTAAGTATTGAAGCAGTTGATTCACTGATAAATTTTCTAGAAATCAAGAACCGTGGTGGTGAGGCAGTTCTGGTCTATTGCGATCATTCGAATCCAGATGACGTTAAGAAGTTATTTGACAAAGTTGCGTCAGAATGCGATCAGAAACTCGATATTCTTGTCAATTGCGCTTTCTCCGGAGCACCGGTATTGTGATTCCGTTCGTAAAATTCATTAGTTTTATTTTCAAATACGCCGTTAGCTCAATCTCAAGCATTCATATGGAAGTGAGTGTGCATCGTGTTTATAATTCGTGGTGCTCTATATAAGCCAAACTCTACGAAAAACCACAACTAGGAGATGCATTTGAAAAGCCATCGGAATTCAGCTTCATATGACATGACTGCAACGATGCACACTATCTGGACAACTGAAGTTATCGTGATGTTTACTGCTGTAATGCTCTTCAAACAACTGAGCATGTATTAAAAGTTCTACAAAAGATTTTCAACTGCAAAAACTGGTTGTTTGCCATTCAAACTGCTCCGGGACCACGGATCCAAATCAGTATGTGATCCTGGAATGCACCAAAATTTAGAGCTGATATTTTCAGAGTATTTTGGAAGGCGCAGGCAAGAAGTTTTATGATTTTGATCCACTTGTATGGGATGAAGTGAATAACGTTGGTTTGCGTAATGTGTACATCTGTTGTGTTTATGCGGCACGCTTGATGGTGCCTCAGAAAAGAGGTCTCATCGTGAACATAAGCTCAACTGGCGGTCTTCATTACTTCTTCAATGTCGTCTACGGAGTTGGAAAAGCCGGGGTAATATTATGATGCGGTTTATGAGATTGAAAGAGCGACTAATCATTGTTATCTCTGATCTTTGATTATATTGGCCCGCACTAGGTCGTGAACAAAATATGCTTTCATCCAGATAACATCTCATAAGGATTTCTTTTTAATAGCAAGTTTGTTTGGATTTGGAAATTAATTCGACGTTCACTTATTCCTCATGCAGATGGACCGAATGGCCACTGATATGGCCGTTGAGTTGAAATCCGATGGAATTTGTTCAGTATCGCTTTGGCCAGGTGCCGTCAAGACTGAGCTGTTCAAAAAAATGGTTGATTCGGGCAAATTGTCTGAACTGAGTGGTATGGAAATCAAGCAGGTTCGATTACTTATGCCAATCCTAATTGCTCCGAATCAGAACTAATCAAGCAAGCCACTGCCATCATTTGCGAGTCTGTTTTTCAAGAGAATTTCAACATGCCATTAATAATTACAGTCATCACTTCTTTCAACAGGAATGTCATTTTATTAAGTCACAGAACCTAAGCAATTTTCAATTTCTAAACTGTAACATTACATTCAGACGTTAGCAGTCATCACTTTAGTAAGCACCCATCAACTGATCATAATAGAAGTGCCTCTGTATGGTGTCATGATGAGTTCATCCAGTTCGATTTCGTGCATCTTATCAGAGTTTTTGTTTTGTAATTTCCGTCGTATTACGATTATTATGGTAGTGAATGTTGAGGATCTCGCTGAACGGTTTTACAAAAATGCTGAAACACCGGAATTTGTGGGACGTGGTGTGGTTGCGTTGGCATGCGATGAGAATGTGATGAAGAAAAGCGGTCGTATTCTTTTAACGTCGGATTTGGGACAAGAATACGGCTTTGTTGATATCGATGGTGAGTGCCGTTCCATCTTTAGTCTTTGTTTCTTGAGCCATTCATTCATTCACAGCAGATTCTGTGTTTTGTTTTATAAATCAATCACGGAAGCGATTAAATTAACACATTCCGGACACTATCTATCCGTTGTTCTTGTGTACTTCAGCTGAATTGATTGCATCTTCGATAGTTCGAGTGATCGGTTGTTTTTCCAGGCAATACACCATCGCATATACGCAGTATCAGTGGTGCGCTAGATTTGGCCGGATGGAGTCGTCTAGCGAAATTCGTGCCAAAGTTTCTACGATTTCCATACTGGGCACTTCATATGTCCTCAAATAAATTCTAATTCTCAGCTTTAGTGTGTTTTTGATTCCGTCATTCAGTTCATCAACCTACTACCTCTTTGTTAGTTGCACTCTAAATATTCGATGCATATTTCTTGTGCATTCATCGATCTAAGTCTCTGTATTTCCGTGGGTCATTCGTACATACCTGTTATTCGTCTATTACGATTATCGCTGAATATCCTATCTATCGTCTATGTGATATATCTTTTTTCAGTGATTTTTAAATTTCCTATTTCGTTCAGGAATAAAAATTTGACTTCAGTCAATTATGTTTTCATTGTTGCATTTTCCGTGAAATGCATATTTATCGACAACTATGAAAAATATTTATGTTAGAAGGCTCTTGCACCAGTGCACAACGCTCATTATGTGCCAGATCATGCTCAGACGTCGTCAATTGGGATTGTTAGCAGACGTTATTCATTGTGCCAGCAAGCCTTTCGTCTAAAGGNTATATAGATGGGCCGATTGCGGAAGCATAAGCACACGATCTCAGAGCCGTATTCCCGACGGTATCATTATTCATGTCAGAACTATCATTTTGTTGCTCGCTCTTAAAAGAGTGCAGAAATATGATAGCGATGAGCAAAAGTTAATGAATTCTTTGAACACATCACCACAAAAACTGGCGCTTTCATCAAGGATGATCCGCGGTTTTTGAGTTCTGAAAGTTGCTTAGTCGTGAAAAACAAATATCCCAGAAGGTTATTCATTAGTTTCATGTTGCAGAGGATAGATTTTTCCCTTGTGAGAATACGTTATCATCATGAAAAACTGACTGCAGATCCCAGTGCATCTCAGAAACATAACTCATTTTTAAAGTTGTTGCATGTACATTTCATTTCACTCAGACTAATATGGGCAGTTACGTTTCACTCGGAATTTTCAGAGTTTGATGTGTGAATTTCAAATTCTGCGTATTGCATGTTCACATGTTCTTAATTTAGCAACACTTAATCACTGGGAAAACTCATCAAATATAATGAGAAATACGCATAAAGAATACATGATGCATTAAGCGATCGTTGGTGCTTGAAATAAAATGAAATGAAATCGAAGTTTTTTTTTGTTGATGGTGACGTCTTATTATATTGCAGTATTGCATTGGACGTAACAAAGTTATTGGTTGTTTGGATACGTTTCGTCGATGCAATATCGTTAAAATGTAAAGAACATTTAATAAAACTTTCACTATATGGCAAGGCAAGCAAGAAGAGACTCATTTGAATAGAAGCGATTGATTCTATTTTATAGCATGAGGGAGTGAATTGAATACGACGATATTGAATATCACAGTGGATTGGAGGAGTGATGAGTGGACTGATTTGACCATACGTTAACGAGATAACTCCTTAACTGAGTTACGGATGCAGCGATTAGCTCGATGAACAACGGATTCAGAAGTGCATATAAAATCGGATTTGAGACGTTGTTTGTCATCGCAACACTGAAAGCAATCGAATTTACAATGATCATTCAGCATTTCCCACGTCATGTTTTCTTGTTTCTGTTTGCTTGAATCTTCAACTGATAATCCAGCATCAACATTGTAGACTGGAAATGCTTCGGTCAAAACATTTTCGTTCACATTCAATCATCTACTGTCCACGTGGTTTACGGACAACTAATAAACCGATAGGACAATAGGTCTTGCACAGGGCTAATTCCCCATCACTGACCATTTCGAAAAACTTAAAATTTATACGTTCCGATCTCTTAAGTTGAAATGAAACCACTATTTTTCTGGAAGCCTCGTGAATATTATTTTAATTGGATTTTGCGGACTGCAAAAAAATTGTCACTTCACAGAATTTCGACATGATCTGCAATGTAGAAACGTGGAATGAAAGGATCGAATGGTTGTGGAGCTTGAAGCTTGAAGGCGCGATATTATTTTGTTTATGCAATGATGAACGAACACTTGCCTATGTGTGAATAAGTTAATCAGATAAATAATATTTACACCATCGTCCCTCTCAAAGATTCTCTCGTCGAATTCCATCAGCAACGAAACAATATTATGCGGTAACCATGCTACAGCGAACATCACCACCATACTCACCAGCAATATCGTATTACGACGAGCATTGGCCACCACCTCACACTTCAACTTCTCCTTAAAAAATCTTCTTATCTGCTTCTCAGCTGTCAGGTTGTTTGCTTTCATTGGTAGCAAATTTTCCGATTTGCAAGTGAACTTGCCATGTCTGATCTGGCTGGGTTCGCTGACTTATGAAGCAAGTTAAATGGCACGTTGAGGTCAAGGAATGACAAGCACAACAGCTGCTACACTTGTCAACTAAGTGAAGTTTTCTCATCGACTTAAACCTGGATTCTATCTAGAATTTTGCTGTTGCTGAGAAATTTTAGGTTGTCGATAGCGTGAGCATTTGATACTGATGTGAAGAATTTCAATAGAATTGAATTCATCGCAATCAATAACCTGTGCTTCTTTGGTGTCATTACCGTCGACGACATGATTCTCAATTTGATTAGTTGCACCGGCCATCGAGACAGAAGCAAGCACAACGGATCGTTCCTTGATTCGCCTCAAAAAAACAAATTTGAAGAATAGTGTTTGGTCTAGAGAAAGGCTCAACGATTTCGACTAAAGAACTCTTATCCTTTCCATTATCCACTTCGTGGAATTGCCGGAATGTATTATTGAAAGATATCATGATGACTGGTACTGTGACACATAATCAGTGTGCATTGTTTAATTATGCATTTCCCTGAACTCAGTCATTGTCATCAGCTACTGGAAATGCCGAACAAATGAGTCTGGGGCATGATACCGAGTAACACAACTAACCGCACACTTGGAAACTTAATCACAATTTATTTGAATTATTCAAATGAACGGCTTTTCAAGCGTTCAAACTTAGTTTTTTTTCTAGTTAATGAATAACGGAATCTGGCTCAAAGCGAAAACCCTCAGGGTATC